AAGCACAGAAAATCCCAAATTCTGACAAGTTAAAAAAAAAAAAACAACGAACCGCCACACATTTAGGCCAGCCAAAATCGCTTTTGAACAGCAGCTTGCTAAAAACACAAAGATTACTAATAAAAACATGTTTTAGACAGTAGGAGGAAGCCTACAGGGAGCTGAGAGCCCTACAGCAGGCTGGGAGGGAAGAAGAGCCAAGAAAAGCGACTTTACCAGAGCCTCCAATTCCCAAACGCCACTGTGCACGCTCAGAAATTTTTTGCAATATTACAGTGCCTCGCAGGGCAGCTGTGGTTTAACAGGAACGGGTCGATGAACGATTCCTCCCGAGGTTTGGGACCAGCTTCAGCCCCGTTACGTGCCTCCCAGCAGGCTGAAGGAAACGCCGCTCAAACAAGGTGGTGACAGACAGCTTCAGGCCAGATTTCGGTCCCGATAAACCCACAGCCGCCTCGTGAACAGATGACGGAGGTGAATAGTCAAATGGGGAGCACCACGGTCCGAGGACTTAGCCACTAGTCAAAGCACCACGCGGGAGAGGGAGCGAAGACAAAACTGAGCCCGGGCTGCAGTATGAGAGGGGCTGCTGCTTCCCCAGCCTCGCTCTCGCCTGGAGATGTTTGGAGATGTGGATGGAGATGGGGATTAAGCGAACAGCTGCCCACGGCAGCGAGCGGTGCTGGCTGCTCTCACCTCTTCCCCCGGTTGCTATCGGCACTCAGGGACCCTGTCCTGCCCTGACCCGTTCCCTTTATCCAGGCCATGGATAGCATCGCCGTCTCCGGAGCCTGCCTCCGGCCGCACCCGGAGGACACTGATTTATTCATTTTCCCCCGGTGGCAGCCACAATCCGTGAGCAGCCACATCCTGCAGGTCCCTCTGCTCCCGCCAGACACGAGGTAGCAATCGTGGGCTTGAAAATGGAACAAAGTGGGGAAAACAGAACAAAATGGAACAAAACCCGACTGGCTGCCAGGCTTCAGAGCCTGGAAAAGCCCGAGCTGCGTGGCTGGAGCTGTTAAATTCGGTTTCGGAGTTGTTTGGGGTTTTATTATTACCATTATTTTAAGCCTCTGCAGCGTTGTCCTAGTAAACACGTCATTTGGAAAACCCTTGGCCCCTGGGGGCTCGCAGGACGGCCTCTTTATTTAGGGACAATCCCCAACTGTCTCTAGGTAACAGAAGCATTTGCCGCTCCTTCTCCACATCCTTCCTGCCTCTAAAAATAAGCCGTGTGAAGAAGCAGCTCCCGATGCTCGCCAGCTCACCTGGGAGCAGGGCTTGGTACGACACGCCACCTCACAGCCTCGTGGCTCCCCCGTGCCCTTCACCTCCCAGTCGACCTCGCACAGCGCCGTGCGGGTCTCCCTGGAGTTGCACCAGGAAGCCTTAAGCCCGTTTGTCCTGGCAGCCTGATCTCCTAGGGCTCAAGTGCTGCTGCGAGGGCATGAAAGGGGTGACATGGATAAGATGTGGCCTGAGAAAGGGCAGTAAAAAGGGCCCCACGCGGGTATTCTCGGGGCTGGCTGCACACCAGACGCGGCCTTGAGCATCCACTGCGCTGTCTCTAAGGCTACGAGGAGAATAAAGAGCAGAAATTGTGCAATTACAGCAGCCTTTAATTTCCCACTGAATGCCAGGCAATAAGCAGCAGCGGAAAAAAGCAGGGCTCAGGTATCCTCCGACAAGAGAGGAGGCAAATTTCCGAATCGATTGGCTGCGAAGTAAAACACGACGATGTCAGATGTGGCTTCAGAGGGTGGCGAGGGTGCTCTGCCAGCCCCGCAGCCTGTGGGCTTTGTTCTGCTGCCAAAACGGTGATAGTGGGAAGGCAGGGAGCGACCAGAGACCTAGAGAAACGGGAATAGGGCAGCAGAAATGATGTCCGAGCTGGAAGTAAAAGTTTGGCTGGGGTGTAACTGGGGCGCGAAACCACGAGTCAGCTAGCTGGGATTCCTCCTGAATCCGTAGCATCGCCTGAGCCCAGCCACAGGGTGAAATATAACAGCAGAAAGGGCAGGCCTGGGAACCTGGGAAGAAGAAATTAGGACGTTTGCTATAAACTGGTGAAATGGAAGCACCGAAGGAATAAAAAGACCTGGCTGTGCTGAAGGATGAACGCGAAGCGGCAGCGTGATGCTTCTGTGCAAGAGGAATGGCACGATGCGAGGATGCATCAGACAAGTTATTTTTAGCAGAGACAGAAAACATTATTGCCATTGCGCAAGGCATTGTGAGACTTCTTCCAGCACATCCCCGCAGCTCTGCAGCCGGAAAGGATAAATTTCCACTGCGCAGAAAGAGCCTGTTTGGGTCCGGAGACAAACAAGCGGCAGCTGATGCAGACCTACTGGGGGCTTGGTTGTCCCAGCCAGAGGCTGAGAGCAGACAAAAACATTTCCGAAGCAGCACTGAAAGGAGATAACAGCTAAGAAAATGTTATGAAAAGCTGGAAGTCGTGCCACGACGGCACAAAGCCGTGAATAATTGTAGATGGGGAACTGGAGGGTTTTCTAGCCCTGCCAGGAGTGAAATTTTGGACCAGCCTTCCCAAAAGGGTATCAGGGCAGAGACAGCCCTGGCTTGAAACGCTCCCTCCACGAAGTTGTGAGCAGAAAACCCCCAGAGATGGGCACTGCAGCCTGGGACACAGCTCCCGGCTGCCCACGGAGCCACCAGCACTAAGGTGGCTTGGAGGAGGTGCTGCTCCCAGCCCAGGCTTCCAGCATTGCTGCTGCTCGCTGGGAAGGAGAAATCATTTCCCTCCTAATTTGCTTCCGAAGGTACTGAGGCTTTCCTCCTCCTGAGCACTAGGGACCAGCTCCGGGCCTCGTGTGTGGGTGCTCCCCGCCTTACCCTTCCAGAGGTCTGCTCACACCCGAGGCTTAGCGCTGGTGCCAGATTAGGGTCAGGAGGGAATTTTCCTGGACTGATAAAAATAAATCAACCAACAACAGGTGGTTACATTTTTGTGTGTGTGTGTTTTGGTTGTTTGTTTGAATATTTCCCCAAGTTCAGGTCTATTTTCTAGACCCCATGCCATTTTCTTGCACAAATCCTCTGCCATCACCAGGCTGCAGACCTCATGGTCTCTTCCTCCCTCCTGCTTGCTTCCTCGGCCCTGGTGCAGCTTTTGCATTAAGAAGCCAGAAGCATTTGCAGCTCCTGGTTTGGGGGGTGACCGGAGCAGGTGTTTTATTCAGAAGCACCTACAAAATACTCCTCGCAGCTTCAGGATCACGAGGATGAGCCGTGCCTGCAAAAGCTGCTGTAGGAGGGAACAGGGGAATTGACCAAGCTCCCAGCTGCACAAGTACAGCCCTAAAGCACTCCCAAACCCCCGATGGCCTCCTGCTGCAGGGATCCGAGGCTGTGGGGTCACAGCCACCGGGCAGCACCAGCCCCTGCTTTGGGCTGAGCTCTGGGGCGAGCAGTCAGCCCAAATCTTGAGGGCTGGGAGCATTGCACAGCCAGCTCTTCCCAAATCAGGGGCTGGAAAGCTCGTCCACCCCATGGCGATGCAGGTGCTTGGCCCCAAGACCCCAGAATAACCTTTCCTGTGGGTAAGGGGCTCTGCTGATGCTGGGGGGATGCTCAGCAGGGCCAAGGGCTGTGCAGCCTCCAGTCCCGAGCAGAGGCTGTGCAAGGAGAGAGCTGCACCAGGCTCTCCTGCAGGCCCTCTGCGTTTTGCGCATGGAACCCAACCCAGCTGATACAAAGGGGAAAAATAATAAAAATTAAAAATCCCCGTGTCCATGCAACAGCTCAGCAGAAATAGTCGTGGTCCACGAGACCCAAGGCTCCAGCAAAACCCCGGTTCTCTGCCTCCTCTTCGCAACAGAGCCTTTGCCACCAGCTGGGTGGCAGGAAAACACCTTTCTGCAGCCCTCACAGCCTCCCCGGCAGACCTTAAATCAATAACCCCAGCACACAGGGCCAGGTTACTGCCAACGGAAACCATTAAACTGCAGCGCGGGGGGGATAAAGCCGGCCTCCAGCGCCTGAAAGATTTATGGGGCACGACGGCCGGGTGTTAATTCTTTTGGCAACACAAACGCTTTCACACCCCCTGCCCCCCCGCACCCGCGGCAGAGCGCAGGGGACCGCGGGCAGCCCAGCAGCACAGGCACATAGGATGAAACCATACTTGTGGGGCTGCTCCACAGCTTCACCGGGGTAATGGGGCCCGATTCCATCCTGGTCCCAGCACAGGAGGGTCTCCACAAGGTTCCAGCTGTGCCCGCAGAGACCCTGACCCAGCGGGGTGCAAAGGATGGGCAGATGGCTCTGGAAAGCTGCCCTACAAAGAGCCCCCTGCCCAGCTGGGGCACGCAGCCACCTCCTCGGACCCTCCCTCGTGCAAAGTCCAGGGCTGGGCAGGACGGGACATGGGGGAGCTGGCCCCAGAGCCTCACCCCATAGGCAGCCTGAACACACCCCGCATTCCTGGGGCACCAAAGGGAAGCCCCCCAGGGCCGACAGAACCAAGGGCAGGGCTCTCCAAAATCACTGCTCGCCCCAGCCTTTGGTGGCTGAGCGTGATCCAAGCAGGATCACCAGCAGCCCTGTCCCACATCACACCCCAGGCTTGCCAACGTGCCAGCAGCAGGGGACAGGGGAGGACAGCGCTGTCCCTGCACACGCAGCCCCCCCAGCACCGCCACTGCAGGGGCTGGAGCCCCCCAGACCCCATCCTGCAGCAGGGAACGGCCGTGGATGGGGATCCAGCACTGCCCCTGCGTGGCCACCACGGGAGGTGCATGCGGCCCCAAAACCTGCCCAGGGACAGAGACACAGCTCCCACAGAGCCCTAAAAACCGTGCCTGTGTCCTGGCAGAGGCGCTCACCCCATGCCAAGCCACTGAGGGGCTGAGACAGGCACTCCAGTGGCTTGGTGACCCCCCATCGTGTCCTGCTTTCCCCAGACACCCTGACCCCAAGGTGCCCTCCCCGTGGCAGCCACGCGTGGCCCTATGAAGGAGGAGACGAGGCAGCGCTGCTGTTTGGGCATCCACATTTATTTATGGCTGGGGCAAGCCAGGGGCTGCCACCCGCCTGGGACCCTCTGATCGAATGGACACGACCCGTCCTCCTTAAATATTGATTATAAAACAAATTTTTTTCCTTTTTCTTTTTCTTAAAAACCTCATCTCTTTCTCTCTCCACTTTTTTTGTCTTTTGTTTTATTTTTTTTGAGTACAAAAGCGGGGGGCGGGCGCTCCGCCGTGCCTGCCGCTACCTGCGGAGGCTGCGCTGTGCCTGCCGCAGCAGCGTGTCGAAGTCCAGGGAGTCGAATTTGCTCTTGACGGGGGCCGGGTCGAAATCCTCCCGGTTTGAGTCTGCAAGACACGGGGAGAACCCACCCTGAGCCGCGGGGATGCTGGCAGGGCTTTGGGCACCAGCGCAGCAGCTCCTCCTGCTCCTCCCCACCTCGCTTCGCCCTCCGACCTCCAAACCCAGAGCTGGGCTGGCAGGGGGAGGGATGCGGAGCTGGGAAGGAGAGGATCCAGGCTCGGGGAGAGCTGCACGACTCACCCAGGTCGGCGTAGTTCCTCCTGCAGAACTGCCGGCGGCCGCCGAAGCAGAGGTCGAAGGGCTGCTCGTCGGGGCGCCGCAGCTTGTGCCCGCTCTCGATGGCAGCGAAGGCTTCCTCGGCGTAGCGGTAGGTGACGAAGCCGTAGTTGTCCCTGCAAGGGCAGGAAGGAGCTGAGCCTCGGCAGGGCTGCGTGTGTCCCCCCCCCACCTCGGTTGGCAGCGCGCTGAAAGCAGCTCTCACCCCTCGGAGCGGAAATGCAGGGTGCACTCCTCGATGTCCCCGAACACCGAGAAGCGGTGCCGCAGCTCCGAGCGCGTCATCCTGCTGGGGATCTTGCCGATGAACACCACCCGACGCTCCTCCTGCGGGCAGGGGGCACCGTGCCGTGAGCTGGGACCTGGGGGGGGGACCCCGGCCAGCCAGGCTCGAGGGCTCGGTGTCTCCGAGCCCCTGCATCGCCTCCCACCCCCCACCACGAACTGGCCAGAGCCTCGCCGTGGCGCTGCCCGCGTGCCCGCCGCCCCACTCACTATTGCACGTTCCTTCTGGAGGATCCTCTGCCTTTGGTAGTGGTCCTGTGCGTCGTAACTGTACCTGGCAAGGCAGAAACCGGACCTGTGAGCTCCAGGGTGCTGGAAGAGAGCGATCCCAGGACCAGGACGCAGGGGAGATGCCCGAGGAGCCCGGCTGGGAGGCTGGGGCTCCCCTCCCCGCAGGGTGGCCGTGCTTACCGTCTCCTCCTGTTACTCCTCCTGCGGGGAGAAGGGGACCGGGACCGGGACTGTCTGCGGGATGGGGACCTGGACGAGTAGGAGGAGGAGGAGGAGGAGGACGAGGACCTGTCCCGGGACCTGCCATACGACCCACAGCTGGAGCGGGAGGAGGAGCTGTGCGAACACCTTGAGCGGTACCTGGGGGGAGGAGAGAGACAGCTCAGCACCGAGCCCTCCCTGTGCACAGCACCAAGTGGTTCTGGGGAACAAAGAGACCCCCATCCTCCCCAGAGCACCCAGCACATCCTGCACCCATCAGCATCCCCAGGGTGAGCCGGGCTATGGGAACACCTGCCTAAGTTTGCCAGGGGATGCAAAGGCACCGCAGAGACATTGCTCGGCACGGCCCCAAAGCCTGAAGCCTGCAGGGAGCAGCCTCCCCAGGCACAGCCTTCGAAGAGCAAGAAAGGGGCACTGGGGAGCTGTACAGCATGGCCAGAGCCCCACAAGGACCAGGGCTGCTGTACCCACTCCACATCGTGGGCTGTAGCAGCTCCCAGGGGACAGCGGGTCAGGATGGCACTGCCCATGGGGACATTTCTGAGTACAGGGCCAGCTGCGTTTGCTGGATAACCAAGCCTGGCACAGCTGCATCCTCCCCAGGCTGCATCCTCGTGGGATTCAGCACCGTGTGCTTGTCCTGAGCTGCTCCAGCCTCCACACCTACCAGCCACGGATGGAGGAGCCCTGCGTGGACAAGGCCCTGAGGCCCAGCGCCCTGGGACGTCTCCAAAACCAGCTGAGCACCCAGGGGAGCGTGGCAAGGGAGCCCTCACCAGCTCCTCCCAGCACAGCCGGGCCAGGCTGCAGGGGGACATCGCCCAGAGGCACGAGGACCCCAAAATAAAGGAGACCACCTCGATAAAGAGTGGCCAAGCAAGGTGGCTTTCTCCTCTGCTCCTGCTGCCATCGTGGCTCACCTTCCTACACCCAGGGCTGTGCCAGCTCCTTGGCACAAACACCAATGCCTGCACTAAGAACCCACAGAAAGCTGCCAAAAGCCACGGCGCAGCCAAGGGCTCAGACCCAAGCAAGCACTCTGCGGTGCTCCAGGAGGGGTGAGAAGCCCTGCCCAGGGGTGAGGCTCAGCCAGATGCCAGTGTCACAGCAGCTCCCCAGGTCCGTGCTGCTCACCCGGCACCCACAAGGAAATAAAGCTCCTCGAGGGGGTCTAGAGGCATCTGGGCACCTCTGCCAAAACACCAGGCAATGCCCAAAGAGCTGCACCACTTACCTTCGCCACCGCTTGTGCGGCGGGGACAGCGACCGTGACCGAGAGCGGGAGGAGGAGGAGGACGACGAAGACGAGGACTCGCTAGCTCCGTCCGAGCTGGAGCTGAAGGAGCGGCTGGCACGGCTGCGGCCGGCCCTCCAGCTGCTGGCCGAGGGGCTGGGCGAGTCCCGGGGTCTCCGGTAGCAGCGCAGGGACCTCTTGGCAGCAGCACGGCCGGGCTGGGCGCTGGGGGGCCGCAGCTCCTGGTCCCGGCAGGGGGAGGCAGCTGGAGACAGGAGCACCGAGGTGGGGGGGCTGCTGCAGCCGGCGGCGGCCTCGCTGGGGACGCTAGTCCGATAATCCAGGGGGGCCGGGCTGGCCGCCCCCGGGGGCTCCTGGCTGGGCCCCCCGGTGGTGTTGGGGGCCGCTTTGGGCTGCTCCAGCGTCCGTTTGGTTAAGGAGGAGATGGGTTTGATGGTGATGTCCCGGTGGTGCTTGACGTTCCAGCGGGAGCCGCTCTCGGTGCCGGGGGGCTGCGTGCTGCTGCTGCTGCTGCCCTCCGGCCGCGCCGTGCCCGGGATGCAGTAGTCGTGGTCCCCCGAGCACACGTGGCTGGGGGGGGGCGCAGGGATCCTCCCCGGGAGCTTGCTCTGGGGCAGAGGTTTGGCTTTGGCGAGGAGCTTGGCGGTCCTCTGGCTCCCCTCCTGCGGCGCGGGGACGGGCGACTTGGTCTTGGCCAGCAGCGAGACGGCGGGCAGCGGCTTCCAGAGCTGGTGGGGAGGCGTCGCCGGGGGGGTGAGCCCTGGGGAAAGCATCACACAGCGTTCAGGGACGAGTCCAGGTGAAGCAGAGAGGGGGAGCTCACTGCATCCTGCCCAGCTGGGCACCCCCACCCCAGCCTCAGGGTCCCCTCCTGGCAGCCCCAACCCCAGGACAGCCCCTGGTGGGGCACGGGCAGCCCCCCCGCCTTGCTCCTGGCCTTTACCTGCCACGTTGGCCAGCTCTGAGGCTTGCAGACCGTCCGGGGGCTTCCTCTCCGGCTGCGTCTCGGACCTGAGAAGGGGAAGGGAGCTTGGTCGCCAGCAGCCACCAAAGCCCAGCCGTGCTCCCCAGTGCTGGGGCTCACAGCAACTTTGATCCGAGAGCTGCACGGATGGAGCCTGCGCATGCAGACATCCCCGTACTCACCCCGTGCTCCCCGCCGGCCGCCTGTCCTCGGGGGGCTGCGCAGGAGCCTCCTCCTTCTTGGCTGAAAGAGAGCAGGGGGTGAGAGCAGGCAGGAGGGCAGGGCACAGCCCTGAACATGGGGGCACAGCAGGGGGAGGTTTCCCAGCCCAGCCCAGCTCCCTGCGGAGCTTCTCCCTTCTTCTTCCCCCCAGTGTATTCCCACCCCCTTGGCCACCCCGGAGACCCCTGGCTGCTGTCACAAGGCAGGACGGAGACGGAGGCAGACACACCCCAGGACAAGGCACCCCCGCGTGGTGCCACCAGCCCGGGGACACAGAGGGGACCCTGCAGGGGACAGCGCACCGCATCCGCACCTTCAGACTTCTCGAACTGCTCCAGCAGGCTGGACAGGTCAGTGGCTTCGATCCCTGCGCCAGGAGAGAGAGCACGAGTCAGGCGTGCCACCACCAGCCTCCCAACCACATGGGGCGAGCCCACGGGCGCAGCTTTCCCCCTCTACACCCCCCAAAACCCACCGGGGAGCGTCGGCTGAACCCTGCCGGGTCGGCACTCACCGATCTCGCTGATGAAGGCTCGCACGATGTCCTTGCTGCTATCGCTGGGCTGCGCCGGGCTGACGAGCGGCTGGTGCCTGGAGAGCCGTGCAGCAGGTGGCTTGGTGGGCAGGCTGCCCTCCCGGCATGGTTTTTGGGGTGGCACCGCAGCCTGCGGGGGGGACTTGTGGCCAGGCAGCTCCTCAGGGGGCTTCTCCGCAGCCCCCTTGGCCTCCTCTGTAGGGTGCGTGCCAGGGGACCCCGCAGCAGGGCCAGCAGCAGCCGACACCTCCATAGGGCTTGGGGTGACCACTTGGGGGGGCTTTGCTGGCTGGGGGGCTGCGGCCGGGGGCTCCTCTGAAGGCTGGGGGGGTGCAGGGGGCACCCTGCTGGGCTGGGCAGCTGCTGGAGCTGCCTGGGGGGCTTTGGGGAGGGGGCTCTCCCCTGCCAGCCGTGCCTGCCTCCTGGGGTCCGACACCCTGCTGGCAGCCTGCCTGGGCTGCCCACCCGCACCCCCCATCTCTGTGCTTGGGGGGGGCTGCACGGGGAAAGCCGGGGGCTCCGGGCAGCTGGGGGTGGGGGCCACGGGAGGCTGCCCGTGCAGCAGGGCCGTGCCAGGGGGGGGCAGCAGCCGGGAACGCAGGGGGTGCAGCGCCCTGCAGCGCGGCTCCGGGGTCCCCATACGCCAGGGGAGGCACTGGAGGGGGAATGGGGATCCCTGGCCAGTAGGATGGGGGGGCCCAGCCCACCGGGGGGCCGTAGGGGCCGAACGGTGGTGGGGGCGGCAGGGCAGGGGGGGGCCAGGCCATGGGTGGGGGCGGGAGGCCAGGCACCATGTGGAAAGCACCGGGGGCACTGGCAGTGGGTGGCGGGGGCATCCCGTGGCAGCCCACGGGCTGCGGGCCGAAGCAGGGCCAGGAAGGCACTGGTGGGTACAGGGCGTAAGCACCCGCGGGGGCTGGGGGCAGCCCGGGGGGGGCCGCCCCGGCAGCTGGGGGAACGGGGGGCGCGACAAAAGGCAGCGGCGTGGCCGGAGGCGGCGGGGCCGAGACCGGTGCCGGTGCCGGAGCCGGGGGGCGGTTTGCTGGCAGGAGGTGGCACGGCGAGGGGGCTGGGGGGTTTCTCCGGGCTCTTCTGAGCCCCGGGCACCTCGGGGGCCGGGCAGATGGGGGCCACCAGGCAGGGGATGTCCGCCAGCTCCGTGGGAGGCTCGGGGACGCTGGGCCACTTGCTGGCCGCCTGCTTCTCGCCCTCCTTCCTGCCGCCCGGGCTGGGCTGGCGGTGCTGCATGCGCATGCGGTACTCCCGCAGGCTCAGCGCCTTGGGCTTGGCTTCCCTGGGCAGGCTCTCGCTGGGCTCCGTCACCGCCAGGCTCTGGGGGGGCTCCGTCCCCATTCCCTGCTCGGGGGCAGCCTCCACCACCTCTCCGCCCGGCTGCGCCGTCCCCTCGCCCTCATCTCGCTCCTCGGGGCTGGGCTGCGGCGCCGCTTGGGGCTCCTCCAAAACCTTCCCCAAAACCTCCACGGTTTCACCCTTCTCCGGCTCCACGCTCGATGTTTCTGCTTCCAGCTCCTTCAGCGGCTCCGGCTGCTCCTTTTTGGCCCCCCGTGGCCGGCCGCGTGGCCGCGGAGCCCGCTGTGCTCGCAGCTCCATCCCGCCCTCCTCCTTGGCGCGCTCCAGCTGCCGCTCCAAGAAGTCCGAGACCTGCGGCGAGGGTCGTGCCGCCCGCCGTGGCCGCCCCGAGCGCAGGCGGTGTGCCACGCAGTCTCTGCCCGCCCGGGGCTCCTCGCTCAGCCCTTCCTCCGCTTTCTTTTTCCGACTCTTCCTCGCTCGCTCGCGCCCGCGCCCCTTCTCGCAGCCCTGGCGCTTGCCGCCCGCCCCTACGGCCTCCGCCGGGGCTTTGCTCTCCGGAGCGCAGTTGGAGAGCTCCTGCCCGGGCTCCTTCTCCTCCTCCGTGCCCTTTTCCTGCGCTGGCTCTCCTGGCAGCTCCTCTGGATGCTCGGGGACGGGCTCCCCGCTGTCCTCCGCGCCCAGCAGCTGGGGCTCCGTGCCGGGGAAGCCGGGGGCGAGGGGCTGCAGCACCACGGGGATCTCCACGCTCTCCCCCTCGCCGGGCACGATTTCCAGCAGGACGGGACCGCTCAGCAGCTCCTTGGCCACGGGCTCAGCCTCGGGGTCCAGGCAGACGGTGAAGGTGGGCAGGCAGTAGGGGTGCATGGACTTCACCAGCTCGCTCAGGGACACGTCGCCCGTGTTGATGATGCAGGGGTCCTCGTGCTCCTCGGGCACGACCTCGGCCCCGCTCGCGCACAACCCCGCGGCCTCCACGCTGCTGTCCAGCTCCGGGCTGGAGGCAGCCTCCTCCTCCTCCTCCTCGCCGTCGCTGCGCTGCGGCAGGGGCTGCCCAAGGGCCCGCAGCCGGCCCTGCTTCCTCTCCACCCTGGGGGTGCTGCAGTTTTGTTTCTTCGGCCCCGCCGGCTCCTCGCGCTCCCACGGCAGCTCCACGTCGGGCTGGGGAGAGGAAGCAGAGCTCGCATCAGGCCCCGTGGTGTCGGGGAGAGCAGAGGGGCTGTGGCACAGCCGTTTCCTTCTGCTCTTTGGGCACGGCCACCTCCAGCTCCCCCCTGCTCACCTTCCCGGATAAAGGCACGCTGCCGCCGCGGCTCGGGGGCCGCAGCCCCTTGGGGTGCTCCGGGGCAGGGCTCTCGCACTCCAGGGCCGGCCGGGACAAGCTGAGAAACTTCTGAAACTGAGAGAAGGTGAGAGGGGGTGAGGCAGAGCCCCCCTGGCATTTCCCACCTCGCCCCCTGGCTGGCCACGCAGACGGACACCCAAAAACCCCCCGCAGGGCACCCCCAACGGGTTTCGGGGTGGGCTCACCGAGGGATTGTCCCGCTCCCGAGGCGAGGTGAGCAGCTCCGCGTCCATCATGGTGTCGAAGGGGGACAGGGTCTCGTCGTCCGTGCTGTCCAGGATCTCGGTGATGGCCGTGAGCAGGGACAGCTCGTTCTGCGCGTCCAGGCAGGCCTTGCTCTGCCGGAGGGGCAGGAGACAGCTCAGAGGGCGTCGGGGCATGGCCACACCGAAGCCCCCACCCCACAGGGGCTGCAGCACTGACCCCGAGCCGCCCCATCCCGCTCCCAGGGCCCCACCTCGCTCAGGGAGAGGTCCTCGATGATGGAGATGACGGAGGAGTCCAGGTAGTTCTGCATCGTCCCCAGGATCTCCTCGGCCTCCAGGATGGCTTCTGCGTCCAGCGACGCCAGGTTCAGGTCATCCTCGTCGAAGGAGAAGCACTGTGGGGGCGAGGGCAGCCAGCTCAGCGCCATGGGGACCTCCTAATCCTAAAACCCTTTGGGGTACCCCAGGGGGCACCACACCTCCCACTGATGCCCGGAGCTCTCGGGGAGTTTTGGGGCTGGTGAAGGGGAACCGGGCAAAGCGACTCCCAGCTCCACGCTCCTCTCGTACCCAAGAGGCAGCCTGGCCCCACACCCCACAGCTCTCCAGCTCCAGCGCTTCGGCTAAGCCCCAAACATCACAAAACTCACACGAATGTGCAGGGCTCAGCAGCAGGGCTCAGCAGCCGCCAGCGCCAGAGCCAAAATCCATCCCCCAGCGCCCCGTTCCCCCCCGGCCCCCTGCCCTGGGCGTCCCACCGAGGCCGGCTCCTGCCCTGGGCCAGGTGCAGCGCACGGGACAGGACTGGAATTCCCGTTTGCAGACGGGTTTGGGGCAGAGATAACAGGGACGGGCGTGATAAGGGCACCAAGGACGGAGCCCTGGGAGCGCCGGGGGGGAGCCGCCAGCCAGCCGGCCTCCCCCAAAACACACCGGGGGGCGAACCCAGGCCGGGAGAACCCATCCCCACGGCAGCACGGCCCCGTCCCGGCATCTCCCGGCCCTCCCCGACTCCTTTGACTCAGCACCTGGCGAGGAGGCCCCGCAGCTCTGAGTCACCGGCGGCCGCGTTCCCCCCGGGACTGCCTTTGATCCTCCTGGGGCCGGGCACCTCCTCCTGCCCCGGCCGCCAGCACCGCGTCGGGGCGGGGGCACGAAGCCGCCCGGGCTGCTCCCCTCCCCAAAAACAGCCCCAAACAGCCCCCAACGCCTCCTCTGCCCCCGTTTGGTGTTTAGGGTCAGGCACCACGGCACCCCGGGTGGACGCGGGGCATCACCAGCGGGGCATCAAGAAGACACCCACAACCCCAAAAGGATATTTGGGTACGCCAACGGGGTGTTTAACCCGCTGCCCTGCTACCCGAGCACCCAAATCAAGGGCTCCACGTGCACGCGTCCATCCCAGCTCCTTGTGGGGTGAGCGGGGACCCCACAGAGCCACGCAAAGCCCGGGGGCTGTCAGCGAGGACACGCGAGCTGCCAAGGCGGGGAGAGCCGCGCGGGGTGGCCCCGGCAGCGGGGAGGATGCTCGGAGGATTCCTCGGCTGCCTGGGGGAAGCGTCACGCAGCGCCGCGCCGCTCGGCCCCAAAATCCCGCCGCTCGGCCCCAAAAAACCTGCCGCACGCCTCGCCCAGGGAGCGCGGCCAAAAGGGTGTGGGGTGGTGACAGGAGGGTGGCTTCCCCCAGAAAGCTGATATGCTAAAGTGGTGGTAGCCTGTAAGCTGGACCCTAAAATCCTGACAGCCCATAAGGTGGTCCCTAAAATCCTGATACCCTAAAGTGCTGGTATTGCATACGGGGGTCCCAAAATCCTGATATCCTAAAATGCTGTCAACCCCATAAGCTGGTCCCAAGATCCTGATATCCTAAAGTGCTGTTAACCCCATAACGTGGTCCCCGAATCCTGATATCCTAAAACCCTGGTAGCCCATAAGCTGGTCCCAGAGTCCTGATATCCTAAAGTGCTGGTAGCCCGTAAGCTGGTCCCTAAAAAGTTGATATCCTAAAATGCTGGTAACCCCATAAGCTGGTCCCAAAACCCTGATATCCTAAAACGCTGGTAACCCACAACCTGGCCCCAAAAACCCTGATATCCTAAAGTGCTGGTATTGCATACGGGGGTCCCAAAATCCTGATATCCTAAAATGCTGGTAACCCCATAAGCAGGTCCCAAAATCCTGATATCCTAAAACACTGGTAACCCACAACCTGGCCCCAAAAACCCTGATATCCTAAAGTGCTGGTAACCCATAAGCTGGTCCCAAAAATCCTGGTATCCTAAAACACCGGTATCCCACAATCCGGTCCCCAAACCCTGATATCCTAAAGTGCTGATAGCTCACGAGGGGCTCCCAAAACCCCCCAAATCCCGGTAACCCACACCCCGGCCCCAAAACCCCTCCGTACCCCAAACCCTGCTGTGCCACAACCCGACCCCAAAACCCCCGATCCCCTGACACCCCGGCACCCCGCACCCCCCAGCCCAGCGCCCCCCGGTGCAGGACACCCCCGTTCCCCCCCGTTTCCCCCCGTTCCCCCCGCTCCACGTGGAGCCGCCGCCGCCCCGGCGGGAGCCGCCCCGGCCCTCCACGTGTCACGGGCGCTCCCCGGCCGCCTCCTACCTGCAGGGGGCTGCCGGCGCGGAACGGGGCCGGCCGGGGGGCGCCGCCGGGACACGGCCCCCGGGACCCGGCCCCAGCCGGGCCCCCGGGCCCGATCCCGGCCCCGATCCCGGTCCCGGCCCCGGCCCCGGCGGGCCCCGCTCCGCCCCGCCGCGCCGCCATCTTGGCGCCTCCGCTCCCAACGCGGCCACTGCCGGGCGCGCCACGTGATCGCCGCCGGCCGCGGACTACAACTCCCAGCGGGCACCGCGCGGGGAGCACCCCCCCCAACCTCCCGGCCCCGCGCGGGGCGTGCTGGGAGAGCACCCCTTCGCTGCCGGCGCGGAGGGAAACAGAGGGGGGAGATGGGACGAGGAGGCACGGACAGAGAGGGGGGCGGCCATCTTGGGAGAGGGCGGGAGCTGAGGCTTCGCCGCCATGTTGGCAGCGGGCAAAAGGCAGGAGGGGGGGTGGTGGGCGGGGCCGGGTGGCGTCAGTGGCGGGAAGCGCCCTGGTGGGCGGGGCCGGCGCGCGTTTTCCCGCGGTGCCGGGTGCGCGGCAACACGTGGGCAGGGGGCGGGAGTGCACGGAGCCGCCGGGACCGGGACCGGGACCGGGACCGGGACCGGGACCGGGACCGGGACCGGGACCGGGACCGGGACCGGGACCGGGACCGGGACCGGGACCGGGACCGGGACCGGGACCGGGACCGGGACCGGGACCGGGACCGGGACCGGGACCGGGACCGGGACCGGGACCGGGACCGGGACCGGGACCGGGACCGGGACCGGGACCGGGACCGGGACCGGGACCGGGACCGGGACCGGGACCGGGACCGGGGGCTGCCCTCTTGTTCTGCCCCCATTGCTGCCCGGGCACGGTGTGACCCGGGCTGTGATGGGTTGTCCCTGCCTAGTGGCCCTGCTGTCCCTGCAGAGGGCTGTGTAGGGCAGCGGGTTCCAGCTCCCCATACACCCCACCAGCCTCCTTCCTTCCTGCCCGCTGCTCTGCGGCTGCCTGACCCCGGCCCTCCCACCCTGCTGTGTCCTCAGGGGACCCGCTGCCCCCACATGGCCCTACTGAGGGCCTGGGGCTGCGTTGGGGAATGGCACCCACCCCATAGTTGTATGGGGTGTGGGTCTGGGCTGTAGGGCTGTGTTTGGGGTTGCCTGTATTGGGGTACCAGTCTAGTTTGTTGGGCTGTGTTTGGGGTGGGTTGTGTTGGGGTATGTGTTTTGGGTGTTGGGTTGTGTTTGGGGCTGGCTGAGTTAGGGTATGGGTCTTGGGTGTTGGGTTGTGTTTGGGACTGGCTGCATTGGGGTATGGGTCTTATTTATTGGGTTGTGTTTGGGGCCGGCTAAATTAGGGTATGGGTCTTGGGTGTAGGGTTGTGTGTGGGACCAGGTGAATTGGGGTCTGGGTCTGGGCTGTTGGGCTGTGTTTGGGGCTGGCTGCGTTGGGGTCTGGGTCTTGGGTGTTGGGTTGTGCTTGGGACCGGTGTCTCTGGGGTCTGGGTCTTGGCTGCTGGGTTGTGTTTGGGACTGGTGGTGTTGTATGGTTCCTTGTTTTTGGGATTGTTTTGGGGTCTGGCTGCATCAGGGGCTGGGCTGTTTGGGGCTGGCTATACTGGGGTACAAGTCTCGTTTTTTGGGTTGCTTTGGGGTCTGGCTGCATTGGGGTCTGGGTCTTGGTTGTTGGGATGTGTTTGGGACCAGGTGTGTTGGAGTAGAGGTCTTGGCTGTTGGGCTGTGTTTGGGACTGTTGGTATTGTATGGGCCTTGTTTTTTGGGGTTGTTTTTGGGGACTGGCTGTGTTGGGGTCTGGGTCTGGGCCGTAGGGCTGTGTTTGGGGCTGGCTGTGTTGGGGTACAGGCCTTGGGTGTTGGGTTGTGTGTGGGACCAGATGCTTTGGGGTCTGGGTCTCAGCTGTAGGGCTGTGTTTGGGACTGGCTATACTGGGGTACGAGTTGTGGTTTTTGGGTTGCTTTGGGGTCTGGCTGCATTGGGGTCTGGGCTGTTGGGCTGTTTGGGGTCTGGCTGCATTGGGGTTTGGGTCTTGGTAGTTGGGATGTGTTTGGAACTGGGTGCATTGGGGTCTGGGTCTGGGCTGTTGGGCTACTTGGGGCTGGCCACATTAAGGCACAAATCTCACTTTTTGGGTCTTTTTGAGTACTGGCAGCACTGGGGCCCTTTTTTTGGCAGTCGGGCCTCGTTTGGGACCGGCTACTGTGCCACCAGCCCCTCAGTTCCCCTCCCTCCCCCAACATGGCGGCTCCCGCCTCACAGCACCGTGGGGGGGGTGGGCGCGCTCCCGCGCGCGTGCGCAGCACCCCGGGGGCGCGCGGCGCGGCCCCGCCACGACGGGAGGGAGGAGACGGCGGCGGGGCGGGGGGGGGGAAGGCCGAGGGGGGGGGTGTCCCCGCGCATGCGCACCGCGCCCCCCGCCCTCCCTCCCGCCCGCCCGCCGCCGGCGCAGCCGCCCCCGCTCCCGCTCCGCCGCCGCCGCCCCCGCCCCGCCCGCGCGCTCCCGCTGCCCGTGGCCGTGCCCGCGGCCGCGCGGGGCTGCGCGCCCCCCCCCCTCGTTGTTATCCGTGTGTGTGTGTGTGTGTGTGTGTGTGTGTGTGTGTGTGTGTGTGTGTGTCCCTCCCCGTTGTCTCCGTGTGTCCCCTCCCCGCTTCCGCCGGTAACGGCGCCGGAGCTCCTCGGGGCGCCGTCCATGAGAGACCCCCGCGGGCCGGGCAGCGCGCAGCGACCCCCGGCAGGGCCAGGCATGTGAAGATGTCAGTGGGATGTGCATGCCCTGGTGAGTGGGGCCGGGGGGTGCTTGTGGGGATGGGGGGTGCTTATGGGGCTGGGGGGTGGGGATGGGGTTGGGGACCCCCTGGTTTGGGGGACTGGGGGCTGGGGACCCCATGGTGTTGGATGCTGGGGGCTGGTTATGGGGCTGGGGTCCCCCTGGTTTGGATGCTGAGCTCTTGGTTATAGGGCTGGGGACCCCCTGGCCTGGATGCTGAAGGCTCCTTATAGGGGCTGGGGTCCCCATGGTGTGGATGCATTATAGGGGCTGGGGTCCCCCTGGCTTGGATGCTGGGGGCTGGTTATAGGGTTGGGGTCTCCTTGGTTTGGGTGCTGAGCTGTGGTTATAGGGGTTGGGGTCCCTGTGCTTTCAATGCTGGGGTCTGTTTATGGGGTTGGGGTCCCCATGCTTTCAATGCTGAGCTCTGCTTATAGGGGCTGGGGTCCCCATGGTGTGGATGCTGGGGTCTCCTTGGTTTGGGTGCTGAGCTCTGTTTATAGGGGCTGGGCTCCCCATGCCGTAGATGCTGGGGTCTGTTTATGGGGTTGGGGTCCCCGTGTGTTGATGCTGGGGTCCATTTATGGGGCTGGGACCCCAGTGGTGGAGGCTTGCATCACGCTGTGGGGCTGGGGTCCCCACGGCTTGCATGCTGAGGGCCTTTTATGGGGTCAGGCCCCCCAGCGTGCGGTGCTGGGCCCCCCTTTCTGTGGGTGCCTGCAGCAGCCCCACTGCAGGGCTGCCACAGCCATGGGTGACCCCAAAGAGGGGCCGGGGCTGCACCTCCCTGGGGCACCCCGTGTGGGTGGGGGGCTCCGGGTGCCCCCACACAGAGGGGTTTGGCCGTGCACCCCCTGAGACGTGGGTGCTGGGCGCCCTGGCGGGGGGTGTGCCGAGGTGAGGATGCTCGGCGAGGCGGCCAGCCTGGGGCTGGGGGGCTGGGGGGGCTGCAGGGGCTGGGGAGGGGGATTTGGGGGGGCTGTGGGGTTGTGGGTTTGCCCGCTGCTCGGTGCGGGATGCCCAGTGCGGGAGCAGCAGCTCCTGGGGGGTGCTGGAGCCTGCTCCGCCACCAGGGTCCCGGGTGGCCCCGTGCGTGGGGTCCCGGGGGGGCACATTTCGGTGGTGCCTGGGGAAGGGGCTGTGCGGTTCCCATGCTCGGTGTGGCCCGGGGGGGTGTGTGTAGGGCCACAGCGGGGACACCGCTCCCTTGGGGACCTCGCTGGGTGATGGCCCAGCTCCGAGGATGCCTCTCGGTGCCACGTTGGGTGCCCCGGTGTTGCACCCCACAACCCGCTGGCATTGCAGCCGGGGGGGCTTTTGGGGCAGCAGCACCACAACACTTGGGGACACCCCATGGGGGCATGACCCCCTGCATCCCCCACACCTCCCCATGGGGGTCCCCAACCGGGTCAGGTGCCTGGTGCCTTCCCCCCCCCCCAAGAGGGGGGCTGCTTGTGGGGGCGGAGGGTCCGGGGGTGCCCCTGCGCCCCCCTCGCCTCCCCGCCGCGTTTCCATGCAGGCAGGCGGCCCCTTCCCCCACCGCCTCCTCCATCTCCCACTGGAAGCTGCCAGAGCGCTGCTTCCTCAAGCAGAAAGTCACGTGAAGCTGCCTCCCAGCCAGGCCAAACAGTTAAAGCACCAAGCCCCGACAGGCACCGGAGGGCACGGGGGGGCTCCGTGCGCCCCCACCTCCCCAAACCCTCCGCACCCCGGTCTTGGCGAGGGTCCGGTTGGAACAGGGGCGAAGGCAGAGCCCCAACGCAGCCCCCTCTGCCGCACGGGAACCCCCCACGGAGCTGGCCCCGTGCCACCGGCAGTGTCACCGCCGTGCTGGTGGGCGAAGGGGCGCCGGGGGGGCTTCATCATCACCCGTGTGTGTGTGTCCCCCCCCCTTGGTTTCTCCCCAGCCTCCTGCGTGTGCGCACTGGGTGTGCGTGCGTGTGTGTGTGCACGCGCCTGTGCCCCCCTCCCTGCCCACCTCCCCGAGCTGGTGGCACGTCCAGAGGCTTCCCCGCTGGCTGTGCGCCCCCCCACCCCCCCCACTCCTCCTTTCTCCCCCTCCCCTCCCCGGACTGTTTATCGGAATATAGAAAAAACAAGCTCTGCCGCTGGCCCCCTGCCAGCCAGAAACATTTAATGAGCCGCTTTGCCCAGGCTGCTCTTCGGGGCTGCATTAACTTGGAGGAGTTTCCTGCCTGGGAGATGCCGTGGAAGGGGGGGGGCTCACCCCTGAAACACCCCCCTGCAAGCTGTGCCCCCCCTTGGGGTCCCTTGTAGGGTCCCCTGTAGGGCTTCCACCATCCCATACCCCTGTGGCTGCTCCTGTGCCAGGATGGAGGTTTGGGGTGGGGGGTGAGGTGCTGCTGGCCCCATAGCCAAGGGCAGTGCCCCCAGGGGTGGTTTCTGCCCCCGGGGTGCTTTCTGCCCCCCGGGAAGGAGCCGTGAGCTGGGGCTGGCAGGCAGCAGGAGCCCGGGGAAGTAAACACGAGCTGAATGGAGCCAGAGGAGGCCGAGGCAGCAGCAGCCGCCCTGCGCCCGGCACCGTGCCACCAGCCCCGGGGCCCGCTCGGAGCAGGGGGGGGGCCCCAGCAGCCAGGCTCCCCGCGGGCAGCCCTCAGCACCGGGCAGGCCTTGGCACTCGGGATCGGCGTGCTCTGGGCTGTTATTTTTTATTATTATGATTAAAAAACAAACAACAGAAAGCCGGTGATGTTTTCCGCCATAGTAACGGTGTTGGTGCCGTGGGGCCCCCGGGGAGGGGGAGCAGAGGCACGCTGCTCCCTCCTCCCTCGCAGCCCTGCAGCCCTGCCCCTGCGCGGGGCTCCCGGCCTCTCCTCCCTGCAGGGCTGGCTCCGCAGCCCTCTCCTTTTGCAGCGGGGAAGGGACTCACCCAAGGTCAGGCTGCAGCGGGTTCATCCAGCCTGAGCGCAGCCCCGGGCTGGTGGCGAAGCCCTGAGCCACCCCGGCAGCCCCCGGGCCTGTTTTGCGCCCCGCTGCAGGAGGGAGGGCAGCTCTCCGTGCGCCCCAGCGGGGTTTTCCTTCCCGACACACGTGTGCCATCGCTTCAGGCCCTGTGGCACGAGGCCTGGAGGGCCGTGTGTGGTGGGGACAGGGCGCTGTCAGCGTGCCCAAAATCGGGGCAGGAGCAGAGCCCCGCCACGGCGCTGGGGACAGGGGGAGGACGCTGATGTGTGAGTGCTTTGAGACGTGGACTGGGACTGCAGCCTGCCATGGGGCTCAGCTCCTGACCCCACAAGTCACGTTATTGCCTCGCCAACGCTGCTGAGCCTCGTGTCCGTGCACCTCCACGGGTGCTGGAGCTGCACCCCCAGCGCCCTGCGGGTGAATCGTGCCGCTCCCGGCCCCCTGTGCGAGGAATGTGCTGTGCAGGGGGGAAACGGGGTGCTGGGGCCGGCCCGGGGGGAGGCAGGTGAGGCAGGAGGAGAGGCAGCTGCGTGCTGAGCCGCCCGGGGAATCCCCACTGCCCCTGTCCTCCGGGCTGGGAGCGGGAGAGCCGGGAATTTGGGAATTCACCCGCCTGCTTGGGTGCCTCCCCGCCCAGAGCCGGCGGCGAGACCCTCCCCAAACCCCCCTGAACCCTCCCCAAAAAGCTCCACGGCAGCACGGCCGTCGCCTCCTGCCCTGCACGAGTGGCGGCGGTGACACGGGTGTCTCCTGCTTGCACCCTGCACCTTCGGCTCACTTTCCCATCTCGATTTCGTGCCGCCCTCTCTCTCTTCTCCACACCTTCGCTGTGGGATTCCCCCGGCCACATCCGTGCAGCTCGCTCACACGAGGGCACGCACGCGTGTGCGCAGCGAGGTGGGCGCTGGGGGCCTGCCTCACGCATGGTTTGGGCACATCCCTTTGCTGCTCTGGCTCCGGGGAAGCTGCTGGAGCGGGGAGCAGCGGGTGCTGGGGGGTTTTTGGCAGCCCTGGAGCAGGGCAGGGGCTGGGTGCCCCCTCCCCGGCCCCCCGGGGCAGGCAGGATGGGGCTGGTGACCGTTATCAGCGCGCCTGCAGGCTGGGGCTGTGGTTTCCTGCTGTTGCTGCAGGGGGAGGGCGGTGGGGAGCCCGCTGCCCGCCCCACCTGGAGCGGAGAGGCGAGGGGGGGCGGCAGCCTGGCACCCCCAGACCCGTTCCCTGAGGCCGGGGTGTTTTGGGGAGGCAGCACGGAGGTGCAGGAGCGTGGCCGTGCACGAGGGCTGGTGCACGCTCGTCTTTGCAGCACGGCCACGTGCCTGGGCACCCCTGTGGGCACGGGCACCCGAGGGGCTCTGTGCCCTGTCCTGCCTGACAGAGGGCACCAAGAGGGGCAGGATCCCATCAGAGCCATCTCACCCAGCTCCCTGTTGCTGTTTGTCCCCTTCCCTCCCAAACTGCCTCGCTCCCAGGGCGTTAGATGGGGCCGTAATCTCCCCGCTGCCAGCCCCTGCCCTGCTCCCACCCCACCCTGCCCGTGGGGCCAGCAGATAACGCCCTGCCTGCTCCCACAGGGCCTCGGAGCAGACGGGGAGAGGCTCCCAGGGGTCTCCCAGCTCCAGCAGAGCGGGGGGCCCCCTGCTTTCTGCAGGAGCCGCTGGCCCCGAGCCCCTCCTCCGCGCCGAGGGGCTTGCGCTGGGAGCAGAGCCAGGTTTGTGCAGCCAAACCCAGGTCGGAGCAGCCACCGGCTGAGTGGTTTTGGGACGCCGGCTGCTCCGGGGAGAGCGAGGGGAGCGGGGTGTCACCCCCTGCTCCCGCTGTGTGCCAGGCCTCTGCGCTGCCGCAGCAGCGTGCGCAAACCTCTGGCACGCGTCCTCGGTCGCTGGAGATGCTGCCAGCGTGGTGCTCAGCCCTTGGGGCTCCTCGGTGAGGGCTGGGGGCTGCCCTTGCCCTGCTGCCACCCTCCTTGGAGATGGAGGAGCAGGCACCCGGCCCCAGCTCCTGCCTCGCTGCCAGCAGGAGCAGATCGCAGCACGCTGCTTCGCCGGGCATGGGGCAAGCCCAGGCGCCTGGCCCCGGCGTGCAGC